TTGTTCACAGAAGTGCAAGTATAGTCTTTCACGTTGGTTTCAGTCTCCTTTAACAGAACATTTCAATAGTTTTATATAATCATAAGCATTCAGGACTCCCTTGTATTTCTTTTCCAATTAATATATCCTGTTGTTGTTAGAGCCTAATCGCTACATTCTCTTTAACCTGCAGGCTGTGGTGAGCTGACTGCAGGATACCAGCAGCTATTCAGTGTTAGGAAACAGGTCTGAAAATATAAATCATTTCTTTCTTGGCATATACTAGACACAGTCCAGGATATGTTTGCATTAGCAGTTGCCATATTGCATTAGGATCTGTGGTGATTAGATTTTCAGTAATAGGAGCAGGGCAAATGTATTATATAGTTAGACAATTAAACATATTGTCAGACTGAGAGTGAAAGGATGTGGTAATGGAGAAACAAGGGATAAGACAGGCTTTTCTTTGGAAGGAGCAAATGTGGAGAGGTCATGTTAGAGACAGCAGGAAGTTTAAACAGAGTTTAAGGCAGTTGCTTGAGGAAGCACCCTGACAGGACAGTGGAAATCATGTGAGCAGAGAAGGTTTCTTTAACATGTTATGGAAGAAGGAAGGATCAACTTGCTTGTGAAACACCAGTAAACAATTTGAGCTGGATTAGGGTGGGCAGAGAGATGCCACAGGATCTGGTGTTGGAGTAGGTGAGAGGTACTGAGCTGCAGAAGGCAAGAGAAATTTGAGAAAGTGTGTTTAGCCTTGAGAAAGAATAATGACAGAGAAGTGACTCGGAGCAGAGGAGATTTGGTTCTGATTTAGCACAGTTTCAGTGAAGCTGTGTTTACCAAGAAAGACTGGTAAAAAACTGCTAAAATTTTTGGACCCGTTGTGACTGTGTATCTAATGACTCACAGTTGTCAGCATTGTTTTCCCTTTTCCTTGTTTTTGATTCTTTCTTTCCTTTCCCTCACAACTATGAAAAGCTCCTTGAAGTTAATGTAAAGACTTTGGTTGATTTTTAGCGGACTATGGATAAGCCTCTTCTTATGTCATGGCTGAATGCTGATGTCTGAGCTGTTCTGGTTCCAGGCGGCATTTATAATTGCATGTTATTATTTGAAAAATAATGATTTTAATTACTTTCCAGAAAAGATGATACAAAAATAATCTATATTATTTTACTTCTTTTAATTGGAGAACTTTTCCATACTGTAATGTGCCTGAGTAGGCCTGTTCCATCATGTTGTCCATTTTATTTTAAAGTAACTTGAAGAGCTAATACTTAGTTATTGGGCTATTTTCCTTGATCTCCGTCCACAGAGATTTGTTTTTAAAAAATACTTATCTTATTTTTCATAGCTGATGTGACTGATTCAGATTGGATTATTTCATTTGACCCAAACTGGGGCTGCGGTTCGAAGATCTAACCGATCTGTGGGCAGCCCTTTTTCTTTAATAGCAGACTAATTGGCAGACCAATTAATCTGCTCATCTGTGAAAAGAAAATTTATAGCAATAAGTAGTTCTATTTCCAGAAGTCATTCTTTAAAGTAACATTACAGTGGCCTTGTTTACTTCATGCCCTGCAACACGATCCAGTGCTTCAACAGTAGCACAGGTCAATTAGTGGACAAATTAAGCAATTATTAGCCACTAACAAGGGTGACTGGCATCATTACCCTTCCTGTTTACCAGCAAACTGTTATTTTAATACAAAGATCAACAAATAAATTAGGGCATCTGTTGTATTGCCATGTCTGCCTTGAAGTAAATTATATTAAATGGGCTTTGGTTGCTGCCAAATTCTTAACCCCAGCCTAATGAGATACACTGATATGTCTCTTGCTGATTATAAAAGCTGTAAAATTTAGTTTGTATTGATTTATTAACAGGAGGACCAAGTTCTCTGCGATGGTATTTTTTTAATAGTCTGATATCTGCCTTTTTACTTTGAATGTTATTGATCCAGACACTATTGGGTTCCTCTGAAAGACAAAGCTATTTGCTAATTGTATTGATTATTTGGATGCTTACAATAATTTTGTGGGGAGGTTTGTGTATGTAGATGTATGCTTTCCTCTGATGCTTCTCTTATATTCCTTGGAACTGCCTTTACTTCCAGGTTAGACTTCCTTGAGTCAGTTATTTTTAACTCTTGCTTTGTATTTTTATCATGGGGTAAGACTTCTTCAGATTTAATTAACTGTCTCCTAAATAAGAAAATACAGTAAATCTCTTTGGATTGGGTGAACTTGGCTGCAGTACCCCCTAATATATTGTGGTACGTTGGGAAATGCTGAGTCTCGTTTGCCACCAAGCTGCTGGGTGCCCAAGGTCAGTCTCGTCCCTTTAGTCTGGTGTGCCTGGTGCAACAGTGAATCATGCACAGCAGAGGCTCACCCATTGCGTGTTTATACACAGCCTTCCATATCATAGCACGTTCTTGGTTAGGGAATAATAATTCCCTGCATGAAGCTGAAAACTGTAGCTTCTAGTTGCCAAGATGCCTTTGCCAAGCTCTGTGAGTGAGGCTGCATCAATAACGGGAGCAAAATGAGCAGAACCTGGGCAAGCCTCTTCCCTGGTACAGTTACAGCCAGAGCAAAGCTCTGAGAGTTTGGGCTCTTGTGTTACCTCCTGAATGAAAAGCAGTCATGTTATCCCCGAGGTATCTGTGGTCCTCCCTGCTGCGTGAAGAGCTGTTACAAGTACATGCTTGGTGCACTGCCAGATCTCATGGCAAAACTGTTCCACCAAGGTCTTTGGTGAAGTGATGATCGTGTACACAATGCGATACTTGTGCTGCTTTTATTGTGGCTGCTTTGAAAGATCATACCTGACCTAGGATAAAGTAGGTTCTGGACATACTGATTTCTGAATAGTTAACTCTTCCAAGTATTCTAGAAAACACAGACTGATGTGATGTTTTGAGTCTAGTTACAAGCCCTTTAAAACTAAAACCAGCATAGTGTCTCAAGAAACCCTGGACTAAGTGTGGGATTGTATCCCTTTAAGTAGTTTTGAGCCCTCCAGGTGTGCATACTGTGGATTATGTTTTAGACACTGCCAGAAAACAGTTAGAGCAGCAGTTTAACATAGCTAAGCCTTTCATGTTTGCATACAGTTAGGAAACCTGGTTATTCAGGATCCAACTGTGTCCCTGTCGTTTCTTCGTGTTCTTGCTGTTGTATAATGAACAAAAGACACAACACCAGCCAAAAAGCAGATCGATGTTTGGTTTCCTTCATTTGGAGGAGGTAATTGCAGAAACATTTCCTGAGCAATATAATTATGTATATGCTAATTTGCCTCAGAATTCAGGTTTAGTCTCTTCTCAAGTGGAAGACCTGGTTACAGAAAGGGACTTTCTCTTCTTCAGGATTAGTCACTAATAGATGAAAAAAATGCTGATGTTTAGAGTCAATTATACCTTGATCATCGTAGACATTTCAGAAGCCTCATTTTTCCCCATGTGCCTCAGCAAATTACAATTCATTCCAACAGCAGCACAGGCTCCGTTTTGTTAGTATTTGAAATACAGAATGGGCCTTAGGAAATAGGCTAAATGAAGGAGTTGTACAGAATGTGAGATTTTAGTCCCATCTTTAATGTATGTTTCAGCCAAGCTATAAACAAGTGTGTTTAACCTGGCATGTACCTGGGTTTTAATTTGTTTGTTTTTAGAGATTCTGACTGCATCGCAAAAAATCAGGTCTAAAGTAAGCTTTTTTGAAGTCAGCTAGTTAGCCCATACCATCTCTTCTATGCTGAATTGTTGCTTGTTATATCTATTCCCTAGGGCTTTGCCCTGTCCAGCGTTAAACGTTTCCGATGACGGGGTTCCACTCTTCCCCTGGAGAGACAATTCCACAGTCTAATAGAGCTCGCCATTAGTGAAATTTTACTGATAATCAGCCTTAATTTTTCTCTGCTTAATTTTATCCTGTTACTAGAGTGTAGTGATTGATTTATTCTGGGGAAATTCAGTAAATGGTTCCTGCTTCACAGGATGGACCTTACAATAAATAGCAAATTGTCATGACCTATCTGTGGGTGTCCTGAGATTACACAGGAACTCAATTTATCTCGACATTCATTCCCTGGAAGCTATTTCTGTCAGTACCAACTCAGTGGAGGAATAAGCAATGAATTTAACTGCCAGACTGCCTGCCCCCTGCCCCAGCACCAGCCTTGGAGCAAGGAGATGTTTAGCTCCTCCCTGAGCACAAGGCCCAGAGGCAGGAGCTCCTGCGGGGTCTGGTGCTGTGACTGTGCCCGAAGGAAGGGCATTTAGGATCTGATTCCCCTGTCACTTGTCTTGGTTCCACATCAAAGGAGCTTCACTGATAAGGTGGAGTTACTCCTGGTTTTTATGGGTGTAAAGTAAGTGAAGAACCTGACCTTATAAATTCCAGTCTATCAATCCCACAGTTTCCCTGTTCCTGGTACAGAGTTTATGTAACTCTCCCAATTTTAGTGAGGCATTTTATACCTCTTTATACATGCAGATGATCTGAACTCTGTGTTCATATGTCAAGGGTAGGTCTGGGCATATGCTCAAACAAATTTGAGGTGCCTCAGCTCAACAAATTGCCACTCATGAGCTGAGCTGCAGTATATGCCCATGTATGCATGCTATGTATGTAAGGTGCTAGGCTTAAACTAGTAGGTTTTACTTCATTTCACCACTTAGGAGGAGAAGTGTTTTGTTATTGTGACTCAGCTGATGAGCAGTAACTTCTCCCTCTGTGGAAACTTGACTGTGTCTGATAATGTAGCCATATTGTACTTGCATTATGAGGATGGACTAAGATATTTATCCTTAAAGTTCTTATTTCTGGAGTTTTTAGAAGGTGGCAGGTGCTACATGTTTGTAAGTGGTTTGTTCTGTTGGAAGCAGGCAGTGCCAGGAACCAAAAGGAATGATCATTCTAATCTTTTATATGTGAAATTTCAGATAGATATCTGGAAATCATTGATGTCATAACCCCCCCTTTTCCAACTCTTCTTTCATTTTTCTCAGGTATAATTGATTTCCTTGTGAGTCAGCATCCTATTGCGAAAGTACTGAGAGACCACCTGGTCTTCAAGATTGCACCCATGCTCAATCCTGATGGAGTATACCTAGGAAATTACAGGTATGGTACGGAGTATGAATCTATGTATTGTTATATCTACCTTATACACCCTGCACTGTTTTGTCACTGAATCTTATATGGCTTGTTTCAATTCATTCCTCTTAAACTGGAGGTTCTCATGTGGCTGTATGCTTCCTGAAATTCCCGCCGAGGAAGGGGGCTCAATGGAAAATTTGCTTGCTTCAGGAGGTAGACAGCAACTCTCCAAGATAGCAAGGTATCTGCTCTGCAAGCCTCCTCCAGGTGTGGGAGTTAAAGTCAGCTTAGAGTTAGACCTTAGCTGTGTTTTGTAAATGCATTCATTATGCTGCTCATCAGTCTCTATGTAAATGTGTCAGTCAATCACAGTTCCCTTCAACTACCCAGATCATCCATTAAAGTCACAGATTTCAGTCTATTATTGTGCTGTAATAGATAGGGATATGTGGAATGGAATAATCATTCCACCCTATGCTAATTTTGCTTCATTTTAGTATTTGAATTAGTACTTTACCACCTCCTCTGTTGAGAACGCATTCAGATAATCTTTTGTTTTCCCTAAAATTGTTTGCTCTTAATGCATTTATTTACAAAATAAATGTGGTGCTGGAGGTGATAATTAAAAGCAGTTGATTAGTTGATGATTTGTTTGTGGGGGCAATTACATGTACCACATAGTTCTCTGGAGAAGCCCCTGAGAAATGTAATAATACTGTATGTGGTTTTGCTTACAGCACAAGACTAAATAACACAATACACTCTGTAGCCAGGCTACCCCGAGCTTTGATCTAATTAGGTATTGCATTGCTAAGCAGAATAAGACTGGGTTATTGTGTGGATGAGGAGACCACCGAGGAAGAAGCTAGAAGTTGCAGAAAATGGCGCTGCTGGCTCTGTTCTTTGTTTTGATATGTGCTGCTTAGCCCTCCTGTACTTTGCTACTCACTCAACTGAAATAGCAGAGAATTGCGTGGGTGATTTCAACAGTGCTTATATACATGTTTTACAAGTGAAACTTCCAAGGACACGTGGTCTCTTTCCAGCTACACTGATACTCCCTCAACTCTCAGCAAATCCAAAACCAGGGAGTGATATTGCAGTAGTGGCATCTGACAGCCCTAGGAATTTATCATAAAGGTTATGTCACCTTACAGGAATAAAGCCTTAAAATGGGTCTAGAATCTGATACTACATTGCTTTACTCTGTTCCAGGTGCCCTGCACGTAGGCAACTCCAGTTGCAATTAAGTAGCTTTCATTTTCCCCCATAAATTTACTTGCCCTGTATGTTTTTCTCCTGCACTATTATTTGTACTTTTGGGGAGGCATGCAGCTTTACAGACATGCATGTGGCTTATACCTTGAAAAGCCTTTCGGGAACCCAGGTATTATGAAAGGGCATGTGAATTCATTTGGAATTGCTGAGCCTGATGGTATACTATTGTTTTAGCTTTTCATGATACGCAGAATTTTCAACCCACCTGAACTAAAGAGACTTCTAATGAGGTAGTTGGAAAAGCATTTGATTTTCTTGCAATTCTTCACTTTATTTACAAAAGATCTAATGTAACTAATAACTTAAAAATGAGGGTAATAAGCAAAATGCTACCTATTATCTTGAGAAGAATATTAAAAAGCCTAGTAATGTGCCGGCGTTGTAGTTAACTAGTGCTGAGTGAATAATTTACAGCAAACACTTTATTTCCTGCTCATACAAAATCCACAAGCACATCATAATTTATTTGCTTGAATTTACTGGATGAATTTTAAAAAAATCTCTGAGGATCAGTTGCTAGTATTTGAAAATTTAACTCTGAGGCTTCTCTGTGATTGGCTAGATAAGTCTGTTTCATCTCTTTTGGTCTTTGTTCAGACTGGCACATAAATAGGGCTTTCAGAAGTCTTCCACGTAGCATGCTACAATACAGATCTACTGGCTGGGGACAATCCCCCTGCTTTTGCGAACAAGGTCTGTGGTGCCATGTGCAGCAAGAGCAGTTTTAGGCATTTGAACTTCCTGTTATCTCCCTCTTTCTCAAACCAGCAGCTAGTGACTATTTCTTTGGTTCATTGAAGGTTCACATTCAGAGCTATGCAAGCTAAGATAATGAAATGGGTAATTAAACCTCATGCTTGAGTTTGTAAATTGATCTCCTGCCAGCGTGAGAGAGATTTTTTTTACCCCACCAGTACACAGCTCTGTACAATTGGCAAAGTATACTGTCGGATACTTTGCTCTCCTCTGAAATCTGAAAGGCGCAGTGGGCACCTTTAAAAGCCTGGGTATGTCAGCAGTTCTCGTAGAAGGGTGTCCTGGTTTCAGCAGGGATAGAGTTAATTTCCTTCCTAGTAGCTGGTACAGTGCTGTGTTTTGGATTTAGGATGGGAACAAAATTGATAAGGCACCGATGTTTTAGTTGTTGCTAGGTAGTGCTTACACTAGCCAAGGACTTTCTAGTTTTCCATGCTCTACCGACTGAGAAGGCTGCAGATGCACAGGAAGCTGGGAGGGGGCACAGCCAAACTGGCCAAAGGGACATTCCATACCATGGGACGTCATGCTCAGTACAGAAACTGGGGGAAGCTGGCTGGGGGGGGAGGGCTGCTGCTCGGGGACTGGCTGGGCATTGGTCGGCGGGTGGTGAGCAATTGTACTGTGCATCACTTGCTTTGTGTATTATTACTATTATCATATTATTATCATTATCATTTTATTTCAATTATTAAACTGTTTTTATCTCAACCCACAAGTTTTCTCACGTGCTTTTCCAATTCTCTCCCCCATCCCATCGGGAGGGGGGGGAGTGAGTGAGCGGCTGTGTGGTGCTTAGTTGCCAACCGAGGTTAAACCACGACAAAGGGATGGGATATACTAGTTCTCCTGTGATCAAAACAGGAACTAACCACTCGTTTACCCAGGATGATATGGTAACAGTTGGCTGGTGGGATTTTCTTCATTGTCATTTTGGGGGATGCAGGACTTTCACCAAGGGTTTGGGTCCTGTGCTCTTCTCCAAAATCCTTGTTCCTTTGTTCAGAGTGTTTGTGAACTGAGGTTTAGGTGTTTAAGCCAAAACTGCAACAATAATGCCAAGAATTGTCTATTATCTATAAACTGTTGCTCATTCTCAAGAGAACAGACCAAATGGGTTGTGACTCTAAAGGAACTTTTTTGTGGTGAAATGTGCATAACCAGCAACAAGTGAGTTTAATTATCACAGCTATAAAGCACAAGTGCTCACAGCACAGACACATCTGTGAGGAAGGTGGTTTATATGTTGCATGTATGTGTTCAGGCGGCTCTAAAAAAAATGGTCATGGAAATGAACGTCAATGCCCAGTGTATCAGGATGCATGGAAACAGGGTGCTAAACTTTACTGATTTATTCAAGTATATGCAAGAGTTTAAGAAGTATATTTGTGGACCCATACAGTTAGGAATGAAAAGACAAGGTACCTTATGTGACTTAAAGGGGTGGTTAAGCATCCCCTCTAATTTAGAATGTTTGGAAGGTCTATACACAATTTAAAAAATTATTTAAAAAAAAAAAAGGACAAAAGTTGCAATTTGATTGTAATCTTAGAGCATAAATTTTTTAATAGAAAGTGAACTAGTATGGTTCTATCTCTTAATAGCTATTACTTACATATGCAAACCAAGAGAGGTGGTGAAATTACCTCTACTAGACTTTATTACCAGTAAAGTTTCTGACTGACTGTTTAGGAATCAGAACATTTAATTTTTGCTTTCACCTGTTTCTTTCTGAAAAGAGCTGAGAAATGAAAAATCACGGGCAAACCACACTACAATAGATCAGAGTTGGCTGGATAAAAGTGTCAGAGGGGTTAGGTGCAGAGAAGTGGAGCCCTCAGAGTGCAAATTCACCTACAAGCCAAAGTACTGAATGGCTAATTGGGATTGCTCCTGCTTGCACTGCTAGCTGCTGTTTGCTGGTTTGCTAGCATCATACCCTTCTGTGAAGATGACTAATACACTGCACTCTTTCTTCAGTGGAAAAAACCCTCCATAGTCCTTTTCTGGCCACATTAGTATACCCAGCTCTTTCTAAGATTCAGGATAATGATAGGTACCTGCTGTTTACTGTGGTCAAGGATGTAGGATTTCTCCCAAAACAGGAAGACAGGCTTCATCCCTTTCTTGAAATATTTAAAGCCTGGTATTACTGTACTTCTAAGTGTAACTGGCTTTGCAGTTTCAGTGTGTAGAAAATGTTATGCCACATGGGCCTGTTAATTAAATTGCCCAGGAAGATGCCATTGGTTGACCTAGCTAAAATAGTGAGTCTTCAGCATAATTTGCCCTCTGTTCTGGCTGGTAACTTGTTCTCAGCTCCCACCTGAATTGAAAGACCCCTTTTGCTGGGGATGGTGCATGACTTGATCTTTAGCTTTGTGAAAGAACATGGCAAAAAATAAAAATATTTGTGAGTTTCTCCATAACACTAATCTCACCCTCTCTGATAGATTAAACTGAAACAGTTTTAGGAAATAAAGGAAAACTAGTGCTGGGAAGAGAGATTTCTTGACTTTTCTCTCTCTGTTTGCAGTATAGCATTATCATTTGCTGAACCTATTGCCATCCCCAGGGAGGTGGGTTTAGACTAAGAAAAAAAAAAATGTGTTCTTGATTTAAAAGTCGTGCATCCCCAGGCTTGGCCTGAACTTTCCTTTATTGAGAGCTTGTTCTTAAGCTGGCATTCTGCAGCTGAATGCTGAAATGTGTCCCTGCAGGCGAGATGACTGTACCACACCATCTTAGATTAGTTCCAATTTGTCAGCCTCACCTTCCAGAGATGAAACCCTATACTGGCACCAAAAGGGATGTGTTTCTTAGTCTGGGCAGCTCTTCACTGACGTATCCCAGAAATGCCATGACAAGGCAGTTGAAATATCCTGACCATTCTCTAAAGGCTTTGTTGCATGACCCAGTAAGGCTTCCTGTTCCTTGCTGTTTCTGTGTTGCTTTCAGTTGGTTAGCTGTGACAGTATCAGCCTTCAGTA